CATTATAGATACGTCTATATAAAACATGTACCTGATATAAGTATTAATAAAAAGCTTGGACCAAAGAGGTCACCTTAATATCAAAAAAAAAAAAAAAGTAATTTGTATAAATTTCAAATTCAACTAAAAAACTCTATAATCTCTAGTTAATTTTAGCAATATATCAAAATATTACAATTAATAATATAATAATAAATATTCTGAAGAGCCCAAATAAAAATATAACAAAATAAACATAATATTTATGCAATAAAATAATTTTATAATAATATCAATAATCTAATATTATTCTAAAATATTTTTATTACAATATATAAAAAATATTTTAAGTTTAAAATCTAAAATTGTTTAACATAATTACAGCTATATAGCTATAATCAAAATATATTTACAAGTCTTTAATAATAACTAATCTTTTTATTATTTCTGTTAACAAAATAATAAAAATAAATTAGATAATCAGTTACACAATTAATCTTTTAGTAGAAAATTAGCATATATTAATAAATCTACTAGTATACTAATTTACTAAATGCCTAATACTACTAATAATTAATTTACAAAATGCAAAAGATATAATCTTAATATTTACTATTAATAAATCTATAAGATAAAAATAATTAGATAAAATACAATTACAAAAATAAATCTACATTAATATACAAAATATAAAGGCAGTAACAAAAGATAAGAAAGAAAAAAACTTAGCTAATGACTATATATTACAATTAATACAAGCAAGACAAATATATATAATTAAGGTCTAATAATACAAAGAATATTAAAAAATAACTTATATATTGTATATTTTTATATGAATATAACTATATTTTTTAAAAAAAGATCATATATATAGAAATATATATTTTAAAATTAACTGATGAACTCTTTCTGCAAATCCTTTACACAAATCTTAACTAAAAAGTCATCTGTACAAAAACGTTTATAACTGTTTATTTTACTAAGTTAATTTGCTTGTGACTCTTAAGTAACCTTGCTCCGTACTAAATTTTACATTTATCTTAGAATTTTCAAGATTTTAGGATTTAAACTCATAGAGGAAAACGTATTGACAGCCTTTGATCTTCAAAATTCACAGTTTTAATTATTATACAAAAATTACTGTCACAACTTACTATATACTCTTAAGTAAAAGTGTAGAGTATACTTTTCTGGTCAAAAAAAGTTCTAAACAAAGTTTTTTGACCAAATATTGACTAAATTACAATCAAATTTAATTTTTATTCTCTTGTAAAAATTCTTTTCTTACTTTTTGTCCTTACTTTGGTCTACTCATTCTTACATTTTTCATATAACATTAGATCATTTTTTAATTTATATTTAATCAAATTTACATTAAATTTACCAATATATCCTTAAATAGAATTTCATTTAATACACAATCTATTCTTTTTCATACTTGGATTTAATTAATTTTACACAAAAATTGTACTTTGTATTAATATTACGCTACACACTAGTGACTAATATTTAGTTACATTCACTATTATAATTTATTATAAATTATAATTTTATAATACCATATTACAAAAATTACACAAATTTATATTAAGTTATATCTATACTTAAACCCCTGTATTTGCCTACTACTCTTGCATAACCATATATCTACAACCTATTATTTAACAAAATATTTTAAAAATACCTATTCTTACAATAACTGAACCAGACTCCTATAATATGGATTATTATTATTCTAAATACAGAACCCATTATGGACTTGGTATGAATAAGGAAACTTTCAAATTACTCTGTGTTCTTCTACCAGATATTAACCCTAATCAATGTGAAAGTCTTAAGAAAAAACAATATTACTTCAAAGTTCCTATTCAATTGATTATTGGCACATGTTTATGTGATCAATTTCATACAAATTTTACTTCTTAATTCTACAAAATTACTCAATCTACTACTCTTGGTTTTTCTAATATACAAACCTCTCTAATTATTTCTATTAAATACTTTGAAAAAATTAGTGATACTCTATCTGTATCTCCAATTGTTAAACAACTTTCAACTCAAGTTCCTAATTCCACTATTCTTTTTCCTTTATTCAATACCAATCTTACACCAACTACTATTATTTCTCATTCTTAACATGTTCATACATGTATTTTATGTAATATCAAAAAACATCCTTGTATTCTTTCTCAAGAAAACAAACATTTACCAGATTATAGTAAAAGAATTCTTTTTAGAATTCGACTCATTCATCATAGTTATATTTATAGAATTATTGATATCAAATTACATCATCTCTCTCAAACTAAATCTTTAATTCAAGAACAAAAAAAATAACTCATATATTTAAGTTTATTTTACTTAATAAAACTGAAAAATTGGAACTCTTTAAAGAAATTTTATATAAATTTCCTAAAAAGAATATCAAATCTCAATAACAAAAACATGATATTTTTTAAGATCTTGACTGGTTTAAATTATTTCTAGTTACAAAAGAAATGGAATCCAACTCAAAACTTAATACTCCACTTTCTCAACAATTATTTAAGTTTCTTAAACCCAACTTAATTCAATTTACATCTAGTAAAACTATTCTCTCTGAAAACCCAGATATTAAATCTATTTTTAAATATTCTTTTAATTATTTATTAAAAAATATAGTAGAATGAAAACCCAAATTCTTAGTGGACTTAGTTCATAAAACTAATCCATCAATTAACACTCATATTCCAATTTCTATAGGAATCTTAATTAATATCTTAAAACTTATTCTCTCTAAATTTCATATTATATTTTTTACAAAACTCAATTATAAAAAAATTTTCCAATTTCATTATACTATCCCACTATATACATTTTAAAATCAACTTCAAGTTGTTATTAATCTTGCACATTTATATCTCTTTCTTAACTCTATCTATAA